ATGGGAAACCGGGTCAGACGATATTCCGCTGCATCTGAAATGCTCTTTTCGAATCGATTGCCGAAAATTATAATAGTGAATAATTAGACATTTTTCAATTAATTAATAACACAATTATTCGAAATATTTAAATTTTAATTTTACTAGTTTACAATAAGCAAGATTCGGCGCCGATATCTGATTATTAAGCAAGTTGATGGTGAATTCATATTTTTAAATTTATTTCGTGATTTAAAATATATGTTTTGGTGAGCCATTGGAATGATTTAGTGAATTTATTTGACAGAAATTGGACTTTTTATTTCAAATAAAAATATGACAATTATTTGTTATATTTGCATATGTACGTAATTATTTTCTTTTTTATAATTTTTTTTTGCTATTGATTTAACAATTGGTTTCGGGGTAATATATTATTATCGGGGTAATTTTATTATTATATTACCTTATTAATATATTATGAATGTGAATTGATTGTACTAAATTATAAAACTGTAAACATTTTACAATATAAAGGTTTCCACGTAAGATTATTATGTATTTACAATATTCAATATGTAATGATCAATAGGTTTCCATGTTGTTATTCTTGCGATTAAAATAACAATTTTAATGATTTGTTGATCAAGAACGCAGTCGATAATATTTTGAATTTTCAATAATTTGTATTATTTTCAAATAAAATTAAAATTTTGAATTAAATTCAAAAAAATAATTAATCAATTTCAATCGTATTTATAAAGCAATGTGAAGCAAAATGAAAGAATGTCAAATGTATATTATGATGGCGCTTGATTTAACCATAAAATTGCACATGGCAGTCTGTCCTATTGATCATGCGCATTTCTGAATTGCAATCGTATCTAATGTATTTTGTATCTAATGTATTATAATGTTTTGTGTATTTACAGATCGCACGAAATTATTTTAGAAGTTCGTTAAATCAATCAAAAAAGTGCTGTTGTCCCTTTAACAAGCTATGTTCGCTCTATGGTACGCAGTGCTGGCTCTGGATGAAATAAGGTTAGTGATAATTTCTTTTCCTAATTTATTAAATTGGATATATTTTTATAATTTCGATTTAAATCCGATATGAGTAAATGCATTTTAACAATCATTCAAATAATTGAAAAAAATCGTTTCGTTTCAATTTAATTTTAAAAAAAATATATATCATTTAGAGTTCAATAGGTATATATATATATACATTGATTTTTCATAATTATTTAATGAATATTATCTCGTTGAATTGAAGTTCCTACTAGGGTTTGTCCATAAAAATGATAAAATTCGGGAACCGGTTCTTTAGCGGAAAAAATCGGGTTTTACTGTATAAATGGAAAATGACAAATATACTAGATGAAAGCAAGCGTTTTGATACTTGGAATTATATCGGTTCGATAAAATTTGGAATCATATTAGTCTGTTCTAGTTCCCAGAAAGGTTCTGTGTTATCTTTTGTCTAATGTATATATTAATTTATATCATTATATCAATGTTGAAGGAGTGAATTACTTTACTCAAACTTTAAAAAAAGAGTTTTTATCCCTACAAGTCACAATTCACAAATAAAAGAACAAAATTTTCAGAATTATTATATCACGCTTTAGCCTAGTTCGGTTGCATGTGAGAGAGTAATTTCTATTTCAAAAAATTTAGTGAGTAAACAAAGGTCACTTCTAAATAACAAATCAATAGACGTTTTCAGCTTTTATATTGCATTAAACCAAAAAATAATTAAATAATTGAAATTAATTAATTAAATTGTTCGGAATAGAATAAAGTCGGGGTTTTGTTAAAGGTTTTTAGAACTAGAATTGACATTAACAAGTATGTATCTATTTTTTATGTATGTATTATTTATATTTGTTCGAACCCTTTTCTTTCACTATCATACAAGTATTTATAATCTCACATGTGAAAATGCATAATCATTTTCAAAATTATTTAATCCAGATCAACTATTATTTCTTTGTTCTATTAATTAAAATTAAAATAACTTTGTTTACTATTCATAAAATTGAATATTGAATAAATTCAGTCAAAGACTGCTTTTGACTGAAAACAAAATCACTCTAAAGTTGCTGATATTCTTTTTTGTTATTACAGAATATTCGAGCAAGAATTGATTTTTTATATAAAATTTAAAAACCGGCTAAAACCGGTTCTCTGCGAAATTTAAAATTCGAAAACCGGTTTTCTGAAATGTCGGTTTTTGTATAAACCCTAGTTTCTAATATATAAATAAAAATTATTGTTCTACTGCAAACCAGTGCTATTTGCTCTTGACTGAATAATTCTCCCCAGGTTTAACAAACTTTTATTTGTATATTCATTTTTTTCCTAAACATTATAATGGGATTCATCAATCGCAATGAATATGATTTTGTAAAATAACAATTGTTCAGTTTTTTAACCCTTACCGAACGGCACCTATTTGAAAATTATCTGCCAGCTGCCAGCAATTAGGTGTCGCATTCTGACAAAAACGTACCTGTTAAACTTGATCTTTTTGTGTATGTTATGCTATTTGCTTGATATGAATTTACGGTCATTGATTAACATACATTTACAATAATATCTAGATTTATTTTCTGCAGCATGTTAAAGTTTAAAGCAATATCCAAAAGGCATAGTGTTGATTATAATTAATTGTCGCAGCGTCGTGACAGTTTTTTTTATTTTTTTCATTCCACAGAAAACTGTAATATATCGTATAACTCCGTCTTTTTGATGGAAATTTTTCTTTATAAATTGCTCTATATACAATAAAAAAAGAATAAAATTTACTTTGATAATAACTAATAGTTAATCTTGAAAAGAAAACTGTCTTATCACTGCATAGATCTTGTCTTGAGCAACTTTTTCACAAAATTTAATTTACAAAACTTGATATATACTAATAAACTTAATATAAAAATACCATACCAAATAATTGAACAAGAAAAGAATACGTTATAAATAAAATGCTACTTTAGAAATGCTTGGCAAAAAATATTTAAAGGGAGTGAAGCCCTAGGGCCGCGATTTGGTCATCCTTGATCAACAATTGATCAACTCAAAGATTTTAAACGAGAGCACAGCAGTTACGTTCTCTGGTTAATATCTTTTAGTTTGGTTTTACGAAATAAAACTTTTGTTTATTAATATATCAGGTTTATTTCTACTTGTGTAAATATAAATCAAACGAACTTAATTATTTTTACATTTTTGTCACAAAATTTCATTAAAACATTTTTATATATATATATATATATATATATATATATATAACATAATAAATTTCACTATTTATTATATTCATGTATTTTACATAGAATAGTTTTATAGGAAATAACATAATCAAGTGAATCTCACGTCGCTAAAGTGCATTAACATATCCATTAAAAGTCTGTATAATTAATAAGCACTAAAGATGTTTTTTAGATACAAAGAAATTAGATAAAGCATATATGCAAAAATGTAGTTCTCTTGTGTCTACTTAAGTGTTTGTCGTATGTTATGTTTTAGTTGCTTCAGCAAATACAAATTTTATGAAAACGTATGCTTTTTTAAATGTTTTCCAATCATTCTTATCACATCGAGTTGCGTTATCAATGTTTCTATTTCTACATATTGAGTATGTGCATTCAAAGTTTTGTTCATATAAGGAGAATTGCTTCGAAATGTAATAGTTCATACTATTCTAAGTTTCTAATTTGCAGTTTATGATTTAAAATTAAACATTCGATATTCTTTGTACTTCATTATCTCTGTACTATTTGCAACTCATTTTTATGAAACTTTTCACAAGATAATTTTGTGCATGTGACTAATTGTCAAATTCTTAAATACCAATAGTGATATTTGTTTGTGACTTGTGGCCATAGGCCTAGAACGCCTAGGGTATGCAACGGGTATTTCTATCCTCCTTATTCGATGGATGTTGACCAAAATATTTCCATTTTAATTGAAATCTATTAAATATTACAAAAATCCTAGCTACACCCTGGTTGTGTTAACAAACATTATCGATTAATTGAGTGCATGGCATATCAATTAACATAAACAAGTATTGTTTTCAAATTGTTTAACAACTCATTTAGTGCTATGGAATTGGAGTATTCGACTAATATTTATTGTAGAACAATCATTGTCTGTGCTACAGAAACAGCTAACGATGAGCACCAAAATTTTAACCTATTTTTAATAAACATGAAACAAATAATATATTAGATTAACGATATAAGCTATTAAAATTTTTAACAGCAGCTTGTTTAACAATACTTTAACGACATTCTACTAAAAATCAAGTAACATTTGTATAACTAAAAATCAAGTAACAAAATTAATATTTTTATTTGGTTTTAATAACATTTCTATAACATCAAAAATAAAATATCCTATACAATTTAATGTTTAACATAGTTCAGCTACTTTATAAACGATTTCAGCGCTTTATTTTGTCTTGTATTGTCAGACATCGAAACTAAACTGAATTAGCCATGATAAAAGGAACTATTGTTCGATGTAATTATGCCATTAATTTTTTGAGAAAAAATATAGGTTGTAGTAAGTTTTTATAACAATTGTTACGTAATTACATAGTACAGTATTGTATCAAAATACATAAGAATAGTTTGTGTGACCTTATAACAGTATTAAATGCTTGATTTCGTTTGATCACCACAGTCATTATTATTTTATCAGAAATTATCAATGTCCAAAGCTGTCCAAGGTTGAACAACATCAAAAATGTCCTAACATCTATGCAACATTATTACGAATAATTTTAAAACAATTATTCAAAAACAGACATTAATATAAAAGAAACACTTTATATTTCCAACGATAAGAAAAAATGAGTAATCTAAAAGAAACACTTTATATTTCCAACGATAAGAAAAAATGAGTAATTTAAAATAAACAAAAATAAAATTATTCTAGAGTATACAAATAATTAACTAAGAAATTTAGAGCATGAAAACTCTGGAATGTGTAGATTGTGCTCCACACACTAATCACAGATTAATCTGGGCGTGACGACTGTAGTCTCGATATTCGTCCTCGAAGTCCGTGAGCGCCCTTACTAGACCTGGATACCGAACGATGTCCACGTGTCCGTACCCATTACCCACGTTTAGGAACTTGACCACTCTTTGCTTAGTCAAGGTCGATGAAGTGGCAGCATCCCGTAAACGTTCGCCCAAACCTAAGTTTGGATAATAATATACTTCATATATTATGAGTCAAATCAAGCATTAAGTTTTGTATTGATTAGGTGCCAATATGTGCACCGGCAAGTGATACAATAAAAACCTTTAATAACCTTAGGTAACAGGTATTTAAGAACAATTAGCAATTTGATTACAATAGCTCACATAAATGGCACATTAAAATAGATAGAAACAGGATTTTCAAAAATCAAGAGGTACGATGTGCAACCGTAGACATGTAGTATAAGGTCTATGTATGCGACTAATAATTGGTTAGATTGAAAATATAGAAGAATTTCAAAGAATAAAAAAAGTCCAAAATGAGAAAGTGAATCATCATAGGAAAGCTGTTTAAAACGTTGGTCTTTCAAATAGTTCAAAAAAGTCTTTGTTAAAAATCAACTTAAAATATGAATTTTACTTATGTTGTAGGGCTCGCCCGTAGGTAAGCGGTTAAGAGCGGTGCTTGTTTCAGAGGTCCCGGGTTCGATACCCATTTCGAGCAGCCTGTTAGCAGGCAGCAGTGACAACGATTTTCACTTGGAAATATAGATAGCAATTTGTTTCCAAGTGGAAATAGCCCTCACCAGCATTGCTGCACCATTAAAAATACTCGCCCTATTACAGAAATTGTAATAATAATATATCATACAGAGATGTGACAACTGTTTGGGTTGCCATCTGTCAAACAGACTAGTATTAAGTCAAAATCAGCGCAACAGCTTATAGGACTATTAGGTTCTGCTTGCTGTTCAAAAATAATAAAAAAACTTATGTTGTAAATTTTGTAAGTCTACAAAAATGTACGATTTCCTCAAATTTTATACATGCCAATTTATGTTGTTATTGACGAAAATTAGTTACGTTCGTTTAATTTTTAAGTCCATAATATTGGTATCCAATCTCTGTCTTGTCCATGTCTATGATTTTATCCTTCTCGAAAATTGTGACAAGTTCTGTTATTATACTTTATTATGGTAAACCTCATTTGATACGTTAGTCTCAGTTCAGTGAAAACTGTTTCTTATAAATGTCGCATCTTTTGGCATTCCGTGAGCAAATTAATTAACAATCAAAAAATATGATGATTCTTACAAATTGGCACGTGTCGGTCATCGGGCGCGTGCAGAATAAGTATAGGCTGCCGCACGTATTTGATGTGCTCGTCCGAGTTGAAAGGGAAGCGATTGGCCAGCGGACGCATGATGGTCGCCTCGAACCAGGGCAGACGGCGGAAGGGCATCGTCAGAGGGTATTCGCGCACGGCGTCTGGCATGTTGTTGAATGGCGCTTCTAACACTACGCCTTTGACCAGGTCGACTAACGGATGTCTCTGTAGATGAAAACAAAATTGAAATGACAATAATCAATATTATTTTAAACAAAAGTGTTTCGAAAAAAAAGCAGCTGGAACTATATTTTACTAGCAAATTTCCTTTTTTTATTCAATACTCTATTTACAACTGTCCAGTTAAGGACATTAAGCAAATTTGTTAATTTGCAATTGTCAGCCATAAAAGGGACATTGTATTTCATAATGACTAATAATGACATAATAGATGTTTTTCCATTCGTTATGAATAATATTAATAATATATTAATAATAATAATATAAACTTAAATATTTTCTTATAAATAATAACTAATAAATATTTTCTTATAAATAATAACAATCTTCATCAGGGAAATTGATGACTTAAGTCAAGTGGCGATTTTCTCTTCAATCTACGACGATAATTTTCTGTCAGCAAGGAGTTTGCTAGTGCATTTGGGTGACTGTCTCTATATTTATCTGCTGCTTTTGTTATTATATCTTTTACAGTAGTTGTATTCGTGTCGAGATGAATCAACCAGTTGGGAACATATAAGAAATTACCTCAGCAAATACTATATGTCTACAATGGTTCGACGTCTAATTACAAAATTAAATTCTTTTATTTAAAATGATAGTAACAAACGGATGATTAAATAGCGATTCTTTTATTTCAAAATAATAATATGCTAACTTTATGAACGCATAAATTTTATTTGCACAATTGAATGGATATAGAAAGTTTTCGCTCTATTCTGTAAATGATAATTATACCGAAACATTTTTAAATTTAACAAAAATTTCAAGTTTTATTTAGACTCACAAAAAATTGTATAAGAATACAACCTAGAGCTATATTTATTTTAATTGTTTGTCCTATATATAGACACGCTTCGATACATTAAATGATTTTTGTATAATCGTTAGTAAAATATAAGCGTAATAGCGTATCATTATAGTTGAAAGGAAAAGTCGTAATTCGTGTTACTCACAAAACAACTATTAAAATTTGATGATATAATCACAGAGAAAGATTATAAAAACAATAAAAATGCATATTATTTTTTACTTGAATGCCGGTAAAAAAATAAAATAGTTTGTCACAATTAAATACAATATATATATATATATATATATATATATATATATATATATATAATACAGTATATGCATGCATATAGTTTGCTCATGTTTTCATAAAAATTACATACAAATGATCTACAATGCGATATTTCCGGGCTCATCGGTTGTCTGTCGATCCCGCATAAATTAATTATTCTAAATGACGTGACGCCAGAATAAAAAACATACATGAATCTTAATTATGCATAATTTATTTGAAGAACATATAAATACACATATGTAATAACCGGATAATAAAAACACGACAAAAGAATAAAATTGGTTTTGGAATATTTTTGGGTTTTTTAATATTAAATATTTCCCTGTTTTTGTTTGTGGAATCGGCCTTGATTTTAACATCACGCAAAAATGACCATTTTACCAGCATAAACAAATATAAAAAAATTATCGTTGTGCATATGGTACATAAATTGACCCCTGTCTACTACATCGATATTTTTTTGCATTTTGGATAATATGGTTTTGTAACCAAAAAAAATTTTTACGATCTTTATTTTTCGTGCAAAAAAAATTAATAATATATAGCAGGAATCATCAATTACTATGCAATTTTTTTTTTATTCGTCACCTGTTTCCCTTGAAGAATGACATTGCTTCATTGTTTAAGATTTGACAGAAAGAAATTTATTTATATGTTAAAACTATATTCTCAGAAAATGATTATATGTATATCCTAGAGTAACTACAAAATTTTAAATTTTATTGAACATTCTTGAAAACACGATTTAATTGATATGTTAGTTAGCTAGCATAAAATGAACTGAACATTAATTTGTAAAAAATGAAACAAAAATAAAAAATAACAAAATAGGCAATCTTTTGGGAGAAATAATTCTAATACTTAAATCAGCGTACTCTGTTTGCAGAATATACGACTAATTTGAATTATAATAGAATTTTGGACTGCAAAGTTATTTACTAATAATTAATAATAATATTATTATTTAGTAATGAGAACTACAAAAGTAAAATGTGAATTTACGAACTTGAGATAAAGTTCTAACTTTCCATATTACCCATTGTTTCATATGAACATATAGTATAGACAGAGCTGCAAGTTTCGGCAAATAATTGATTTACAGTTGAAAGAATTTTATAAATTTCATATAAAAATTCATTGATACTGTTGGCAAGTTACCTGAATCTTCCTAAGCATCTGTAGCGAGATACCCGTGCCCAACGAGTGTCCCCAGATAATCAACTCGGCGTTTGGCGGCATCCGAGCCGCAAGCCATGCATAGGTGGCCAATGCATCGCGTACTACCCCCCGTTCAGAAGGCCCATTTGGAGGGTCTGTAGAATCTCCGTATCCGCGATAATCTACAGCAATCACATGTCGATCCAATTCGGGGGATTCGGACAGAAGCCTGTACAGCGGGATGCGAGTACTGGTACTGCGTGTGCCACCATTGCCATGCAAGTAGAGCACGACAGGGTGCCTGCCGGTACGGAGAGCGGCTTCGAAATACTGAGACCGGAGTCGGCTCAGAGTGCGGTCACTGCAATTTTATTTAATAGATAGTGTTAGACGCTGTTCTTTTTGTTCAAGCTGAACATACCTGATACTTCTTAAAAATGTGGTGATAACGACATTGTGCCTTAGTCATGTGGAATATGAATTCAAATTTTTGAATCTCTAAATAATGTTCGATATAATAAATAAAGTTGTCTGATAGAGAAGTCTCTTCGTTATAAAAATTCTTATATATATAGAATCCAAAATTCAATAAGGAGTATATTAACATATATTTAAAATCTCTGGTTAAACTGGTAATTGGATATGCATATGACAAATACTTATTTTTGGTTATTTAATACCAATTCTTCTATCTTGAGAGTAACTTATCATAAGAATATGAAGCTCTAAATTCAGTGAATAGTTTTTCTAAAATAACAATATAATATATAGAAATGTTTTATTTACACTCAAATTGGGTAATAATAAAGACGCTATAATAGGCTCATTTTGACATTAAAAAAACAATAGGATAATATCTAAAACGATCTGATTACAACATTTTATAAAAAGATAAAAAATATACAAATTCTATCGTGATTACTGAGAATGATTATTGAGAATAAAATTATAAAAAAATAATGAAATCAATTAGATAAAAACCCTATTCATTTACGTATAACATAGAAATACATATTTACTACAAATAATCGGATATCATTAGAATGCATCAAATAATTTTCATTAAAGCTAAAAGAAAACTTTCTAATATTCATGAAGAGACGCGGATGTTGATTATTCGGAACATGTAGTCGGCGTTGTTCGATGTATTATTTGCTAACTTCTCCACTTCTTACACACTGGTGTGTAATGTTTGCACATTTGCTACGATACACACCTTATTCTGTAGAATTATTTTACAAATTCTTTTAATACTAATCGTAATAAGAAGTATCCGTACTAAACTAGAAGGTGAAAATAAAAGTAGTCAAAGGTCGTTTAACAGTGAACTCGTCGTGGTCTTCTATTATCATTCAATAAAGAATTTTCAATGCCGTAGGTTTTGTATAATGAGTATATAATTCAATTCGTGTTCGTGTCAGTTATGTGCAGTAGTAACAATGCTTTTATACTTCTGAAATTAATGTAATCATCAAAAATTTTCTTTGTATATAATATGAAGGATAATTGTTGTCATATAACCAAAATGTGGCAAGAAACTAGTAGAATATGAGAGCATTGTTTGTATTTAATATGTTTACATAAGAAAGAGTCGCGTTATGAATTAACAATAACCATTTATCGAAGCGCATATTAGCAATAGTAATAAATAAATGCATATATATATATATATATATATATATATATATATATAATCTTGAAATGATAAATTTATCCGACAAATATCGAGTATATTTATAATACTTAGATTTATATCTAAAATATACTTAGATCAAAATATTGTCCTATAAATATACGTACTATTCAAAGGTGAGATTGTCGAAGGATCGAACTCGCGAGTCGCAATCTTCGACTGCCGTATTATTAATAGTTCCATTCGCGTTGAATCGCGTCGCGTCGATCGCTAGATCCTTTACAGCCTCAGCCAAAGCGTCAACGTCGTACTTCGCTTTCACATAGGATTCAGCATACGACTGCGGCAATACGTGCCAAACACCCAACACGATTTCCTGTTTCAGCACATCAGCACATGATTCTTCGCCTGCTTTGCAAAATTCTTCGTCATTGTACGCCAAATAGAAGTTTCTAGTTGCGTCCAGACCGACTTCTTCCGGCGCAAGAATTCGTTCGCCGAATCTCGCAAAAATGAAAAAAGATTGCAAAGCACTTGAACTGTAAATCGCCAACGGAATCACAACAAATATCAAAATGATAACAACAAGAACGACGAACAACATCGTCAGCAACCAGCGGCGTTTTCCACACCGCATGAACGCGTATCGCACGAACGCGCGATTTTTCCTACCGCCCGTTGTACGAAGATTTATGGACTAAATCAACGGGTGAAGCACGCCGGAATATTCTTCATTCAGTTGGATTGCTGTGTCATCGCGTCAGCTGTAACAGTTCTGACGCAATATCGAACTTTTGTCAGTGGCGCGCGATCAGTAACGGTAACTTCGAGAAAGTTGTGCGCGCGCAATCGCTACGCCTCACGTTGGGCCGCGGGAAGTTTGCCGGTGTTGATGGATGCTACTGCTCGGGCCCCCCGAACGAATTGCTTGCACGCGGCAGTACGTAGCCGAGAAGCACTTCTTGATGCTTTTTTACCAGGCGCAGTACTTTAGCTGAAAAGTTAATAACTATTTAGATTTACTAATATTAATTTAATATCTGCATATGCAGTAATCAAGATCATAAAATAATTGCGATGCTTCATTTGAAAATTATTTCCAAGTTATTGTAATCGTCCCAAAATCGAAAATTAAAATCTTTCCAAATCTTCACTTTTTGAAAGTTTTCAAACATTTTGGCATACCTTGAAAAAATGGATGCGTATGCGTGGATACAATTTTTTGTCGACAATTTCGGGCGCACGGATTAACCGATATGAATGATTCAAAAAGCAATCGATTCCTATTGATAATTGATAACGTGCTAATTTCCGTGATAATTCCTATTGATAATTGATACGTGCTGATTAGTTTTTGGCAAAGAGAGGTCCGTTTTAGAGATATGGAGCTATTTGTGCCAGAAATGGCAGTCTTTGAGATATTCGATTGGAATGACCTTTTGTTAGTATTTGACGTATAATACTTGAAATGGTTGAAATAAATAATTTTAACTTTGCAATTCAATTTATATAATTTTTAGAAATATGAAACAAATCAAAACATTCTAACACCCACCTTTATTAAGTTCTGTTCATTTACTTTTTGCGTAAGCTTATATAAACGTCATCGTCCAACTTATGAAGCCTTTACTTCTTATCTATAAAATGCGAATAATGAAAGTTACAGTACTTATAATAATATATTTAAAAATATTTAATATTCTTCGAATACTCCAATGCGGTGCTGGAATTTCCAGAAATTTTCCTTAAGGTACGATGCCTTACACTACATCACTAGTTTAATTTATAATCTGCATGCTTTGTAAGTTGGGCAATTATTGTGAATATATTTTTAAAATTGAGCACTTTATGAAAATCATTGTAAAGCTTTACGGAAATTTAGAGAAATATATAAATTCATTAGCATCATATTAATTCATAATTAATATATAACATTCGCACCAAATCCTATTAAATACTGTGCAATAATGTGCAAGGAAACATGTGCAATTAAACAAAAATAGTAAAAAGTATAATATAACACATCATTACATTATTACAAATGCTTGTTATTTCAATTGAATAATATAATTACGGTATGATATATCATGATTTAAATTTTTTATCTATCCACCATTATTCGTTTTTTATTATGTAGAGACAAGGTAATACATCATATATATATATATATATATATATATATATATATATATATATATATCTTTAATGTAATTACTTACATATTCACAATCACAAATGTATGACTTGAACTTACATCCAAAGCTTTCTAGTGCCGTTATAAAATCTATTGATTTTGTATAAATAGGTTTCAATTGTCATGAAGCATTTAACAATGGACATAGAATATGACTAAATTATTAATTGATAACAATATTGTGAAATCGAATCTTTTCAAAAACAAAAGAATAAAGATATACACATTAAGCGATACTATTGGTGGGTTATAATGCTCTGCATAGCGAAATAAACAATAGAAGAAACAATAGAAGTTTAGGTCAAGAAACGTAATAAAACTAAATAGGCGAAATATTATTTTGTCAACATAATACTTTCGTTAGTCTTTCCCATGTGATATACATCAATTTTTACGTTATATAATAGATTCATGTAGTTACATTTCGATTTGAATGCAAGTTTATTTAATTTGCAGGAATCACAATCTCTGAAATATATTTAAAACTACTTGATACGTAAACACTCGCTGTATTTTATATAAAAACGCCAATACCATTTTTATGCGTATTTGTATTACTAAATTAAAAAATAAATCACATTGTACTCACTTTGAAAATAACGTTATTTAATCAATTTATACTGTTTACACTTTTCAGCAAGAGATAAATATATTAATATAATTTAATTTAATTGTATGATATAAAATTATTTCTAAAACAATTCCTATTCACACTTTATGATTAGACTCATTTAGTTAACGCTTTGCGCTGTTTTACTTCTGTGTTTTATGAGGATTGATATCAATTTAAAAATAAATTACGTACGAAAAAAAATCTTTATTGCATATTTATCGATTGCATGTCGTTAATTTGATTTTCATTCTTAACATTTAAAACTACTGATAACAAAACAACGCCCAATAAAAGGTTAAATCGTTAAATGGTTATATTTTATGAAATATTACTGAAATAAGAACCTACGCCAAATATACTATTTATTTACAATTATGCTGTATATTGTTTCATTTGAAAATATTTGGTATTTTCGAATACTTATAATTTATTTTTCAACAGCAATATAAATTTTCCATGTTCTGTTTGAATTCGTAATATCTTAAGTTGATATCAAATATTACTATCGAAAATTGTATGAAAATATTAATAGTGCATAAACTAACAATTGATCCTTAATAATCAATATTACATGATTTTATTGGCCTCTTTTAGTAAGAGCATTTATAGCCATCATCAATATTTCATTTTTATATTCTATACTATAATAATAAATCATAAATTGTAGTCTGCCCGAAGGCAGGTCCATGGTGTGGGAGTCACCACAAACAAATGATTCCCTTACTCTTCATCCTTTTACCACTATTCCCTTTCCCCATTTTTTTTTATTTTATGTATTTTCCTTTCCAAACTTTTGCCTCCAAGCTCCTTGATCCTGTGCTTCGGCTTTCAGTTCCCTATATTCTCTATTCTCGCGTAAGTCGTCAATCGTATGCATTCTTCTTCTTCCCATTTCCTTTGTTTCTTCAATTTTACCTTCGGCGACGTCATGCAAGAGGCACTCTTTTTGCAAAAGAGGTCCAATCCAGTTTCCTTTTCTTTTCAGAATTGTGCTAGTAGAGTCCTTTCTTCGCCCACTCTTCTCAGGACATCTTCATTTGTTATTTTGTCTGTCCACTTTTTCTCCATTCGCGTCCAGCACCACATTTCAAAACTCTCGAGGTAGTTCTTATCGGCCTTTCTTAGAGTACATGTCTCCGATCCGTACAGAGCTATGCGATGCTTGTCCTAATCTCTTTCGTGCAGTTTTCGTCTCTGGTCAGTATGCTTCCCAGGTATTTGAAATGATTCACGTCTGCCAATGCTCGATTTCCTATCGTTATCCTCAGGGGCTTATTACTTTTTGGGATTCTCATCACTTTCGACTTGTCTATGTTGATTTCCATTCCGTATCTTGTACCCACTTCGACGATTCTGCTCATCATGTTTTGCAGCTCGGTTCGGTTTTTCGATATCACTACTAGATCATCAGCGTATTTTATGGTGATGATTCTTCTACCTTCAATCGAAAAATCTCTTGCGCCTTCAAGTGCCTCGTTCATGAGCCATTCTCCGTACAGGTTGAATAGGATCGGTAACATACAGCATCCTTGACTCTACCTATTTCAACGCTGTTTATATCTCCCTGGTTTACTCGAACCTTTACTTTCTGTCCCATATACAGATTCTGGATCAGCTTGCGATACCTCCAATCGACTTTAATAGATTTTGAAATTTCCATAAGCTTACTCCAGTTGACTCTGTCAAAAGTTTTCTGCCAATCTATAAAACAGAAGCATATGTCCTCGTTAACGTCGAGACATCTATCCGACATTATCCTCAGTGTTCCAATAGCGTCCCTGGTGCCTCTTTCTTTTCTGAAACCAAACTGGTCTTCGCTCATGTGCTACTCTATCTTATTTTCGAGTCGTCTCGTGAGGATTTTGGCCAGAACCTTTTCTGTGTGCGAAAAGCTGATCGTCCTGTGGTCGCTGCATTTATTCGCTTTGGGTTTTTTCTGAAGAGCCATTATTGAGACATCCAGAAAGTCCTTTGGCCATTCGCAATTTGGTCAGTTTCCTCAATCCGTTGTTGCCCAGCTCTTTCAGTAGGTCCGCCGGTATGTCGCCATCTCCCGTTGCTTTTTTTCATTTCATCTCATTTATTGCTCTTTCAACTTCGCTTTTTGATATGCACGATCCCTTGTCGTCTTCGTCCACTTCTTTGTCGTCTTTGATCTCAATATTATCAGGACGATTTTCTCTATCGTACAATTTCTCAATGTATTTTTTCCATACGCTGAGAATTTTCTTGTGGTCACTCACTCTATTTTCATTGTCGTCTTCTATTTCGTATGTTTTTCTACTTTTCCTTTCGTTCCGGTCCATTTCCTTTGTAGCCTGAAACATTCAATCATACCTACCTTGTTTTCGAAGTTCCATTATCTTATTGCACGTTTTGTCCATGTATTTCACCTTTGCCTTCTCCGTTTCTCGCCTTAATTCATTATTCAATTTTCTATACATTCTCGAGTCTGCATTCTTGTACTTTCTATGCTCATCCATTTTCTTGATCATCTCCTGGGTTATCCATGGTTTATTAGCTACTTTTTCTAGCTTTCCTACGTTGTCTTCCAGCGTATCCAGAAGTACACTTTTTACCTCGTTCCAATCTTTTTCTACTGCCTCTTCCCTGTCTCTTATAACGCCGAACTTTGTCTCCCTTTCTCTCATCACTACGATTTTATTATTCAAGTTTTTCAGATTTTATCCCTGGCCCCTGGAAAAGTCTTAACGTTTTTCACGTTATTTCTGAATCTGTTCTTGACGAAGATGTAGTCAATTTGATATCGTTTGCTGTTTCCCGGGCTTCCCCAAGTATACAGCTTTGTTTTCCGCTTTTTGAAGCCCGT